AAAAAAAAAATTGAATAGCTTCACAACAACCATAGCCTAATTATTTTAAATATAAATATCGTTGCTAACATTTCGTGAGCGTTAAAATTATGCAAGTGGTGAAAAATTAAGTAGCTCGAGAACAATCACCCATCGTACGTTTTTATCAAAAGGCATTATGTCATTGTACATTTTAGCATCTCATAAAAACTTCTCCATACTAATTAAAGATTAGTCTGAAAAATTTCATCACAAATATATCATTGTACTAACCTGATATTGGCAGGATACATAGCACAATTATTCCTCTGTATATCAAATCTATAGCTAGTAGCTATCACTCAAATGAAAAATAATGATTAACTACAGCAAAAATCATCTGAATGTAGTTACAAAATGAACGAAAAAGAAGAATGAATTAATTCATATGATCAGTTTTCGATCGTATATCTCATTTGGCACGACATTAGTGGAAATCGTAAGCAATGTCTGCTGCAGATGTATCCATGTCGTTAAGACCCAATTCTTCATTTTGCTCCCAAGATCTCTCGTATTCGTCGACTGAATGCCATACACAAAACAGTTTTTTTTATAAGTAAGCACAACTCAATCGTATTAACCAGAGCACGAGAAATTACTACCACGTAAAGTATACATCCGAATATAAAAAACTTCGTTATCTCATTTTAAGCATGTAAAATCCTCCAGGCAGGTAAAAAATAGTACACTGAAAGGTAAAAACCAGTGTTTTAAATACCGTACCGGTGATCATACCGGTCTAGCTACCGATATGCGGTATTACCGGACTAGCAAATATAATGATATATATATATATAAATATACATAAAAATGTATAATACCAAATGCAAAAAAGTAAAAAAATAAATGACCATATTCATTAATTTTAACTTCTCAATGAGATAAAAATAAAACATTCTAACTACCAATTCAAATTTTATGTTTTATTATTTTATTATTTTTCTTTTGTGTTGACAGGTATTTTCCGGTATGACCCCAGTACAAACCGGTATAACCGTTTGTAATTGTACCAAACCAATGGCCGGTATCCGGTACCGGCCGGTACGGAATGGTATTGAAAACATTGGTAAAAACTTACATGTTAACTGGGTGTCATCCTTAATATCATCGGTTGCAGGGGCAACAAAGGAATTTGACAGAGCATCATCAATAACCAGAGTCCATGGGTCATCCAAGTTTTTCAGCTGTAATTGAAGTTCAATGTCCAGATGATGGAGAGTAAATCAACAGAACAGAAATAAATATGAAATTTTAACCAAAATATATAAAGGTGAATGTGAATTTCGGATTGTCGATCAATAATATGAATTAAAAAAAAAAAAAAAAAACCAAGGGTCTCAAAAGGTCCAGGTTCACAGCACACCTTATCAAGTTTTGCTCTAAAATCTTTCCACTTGCTCTTTCTGGAGTCATCCAGACTATCGCCAAAAGTAAATCCATGAACTCTCTCAAGACCTGTAGTTTTTTAAAATTGCTGAGAATAGTCCCATCCAGCTAAATAGAGCAGCTAAAACAGAAATAGAGCGGTGTGCTATGAATGGATAAGAAGTATAGCAAAAAAACTCACTTTCACTAATCTTGGATATTAAACCTTCAACAGTCGTAACAAGTCCACCTAATGTACCACTGGCCAGTTCTAAATCAAGCTCCGGTATTTTTACAGTGGCTGTATCAGACTGCGATGATCCGGATGGCGATAATTAGAAATAACAACAAAACGCATACAAGAAAAACCAGCAGGTTTAATCGTAGATCAACTATGTCAACCATGTCAACCTCAAGGGTGTTTTCATTAAGTAGAAGCAGAAATTAACAGGTCATGTTTCGAGAATAGAAACGAGACAAAATAGATTGAATGCCGGAATAATCACCAGAGTTACCTTTATAACATCTCGGCTGAGATCTTTTATGTTCTTCACATGAACAATGATCTTTTTCCCTTTATCAGGAATACGTCCACCGGGCTTCACCTGCATTGCTCGATGTAAAATCATATTTTTCTGTCTTAATGAAAACTGGAGAAAATAAGCTCATGCCCAAGCTTAAAAAAAGTTAAGATTGATAATAACCTCTGAGTTACGGTAACCACAAGCGTCACAAGAGGAGGCCATAACAATCACTTCTTGGAAGTAAGGAATATCTATCTATGGTTAAACAAAACAATTATGATAAACCAAAGCAGAACCAAAAGCAGAAACCAACCTCTAAGATGCAATAATTTATCAATGATTCTTTATTTGTTAAGAGTAAATTCAACATAATTGCCTGCGTCAGTGAGCACATTTATGTGTGTGTGTGTGTGTGTAACTAAGTTATAAAAACCTTTTCAGGAAAATTGTTAACCAACTTGCACGCTACTTTTCAAGTATGGACATTGCAGTAGGATACTTGTAATGAACATGCGGCACTCGCATTGGGCAGCACAAGCTCCACAGGTTGATGGAAAAGTCATGACCTGCCTCACAAGGATGGGGGCAATGTTTTTCAAGTAAAATTATTAAGGAACAAAAAAAAAAAATACCAACAGTATGTGTGTTTGTGTGTGAGAGAGAAAAGCAAATTTACCTCTTCAGGAGCAGAATATCGGAATAAGGCGTCCGCAATTTGAGAACTATTACCCTGAGCAATGGCTTGACGTCCAGCTCTTGCTCCAACCGAACCATGTGGTTCCTGTTGCCTCTGAGGAGCATCAGTTTTTTCCTCTAAAGTATTACCTGTGCTTGGATCTTCTTGAGATGGGTCCACAAGGTAACCTAAGGCAGCTTGCTGTTCAGGTGTTCGCTCAAAGAACTTAATCGTCAATGATGGATCAAGCACCGGGGCATACCTATTTAACCATACCTAATTATTTCTCTTGAACTTTTTTCGAAGGCTTATTGGTGTAGCCATGATTATATTTAAAAAAAAAAA